ATCCATCAGGTCAGGGGCTGGGATGGGAGCAGCCGTTGTGAGGCCGGGCCCACCACCCAGTTCCCCGGGGCCAAGCAGCTTGCCGGCCAGCTACCCAGTGGGTGCTCCAGGACGTTTGCTGAGCAACCGAGGGAACCAAGGGGGTCCCCGTGGGGGTGGGGCATCCGGTGCTGCCCAGAGGTCCAGGGAGGCCACGGCAGGGGGGTCTTGGCCACAGTTGCGGGACCTGCCACAAGGCAGTTTGAAAGCACCTCCACCCAGCAGGGGCGTGGCCCCATGGCTCACCCCGGCCTCGGGTTTGGGGGAGCCCAGCAGGCAGCCCTGCTTCCCTGTCTGTCTTCTGACACAGAAGGAAGCACCGCTGATGGGAGCGCAGGCCGGAAGCCCGAGTCACAGTAGTGCTGGTTTCCTTTACTACTTTCTCGCACGGCTGGGCCCCCGGGTGTTCCACTCTGATGGAGGGTGGAGCCAAGTACGCACATCCCACCTCAGAGTCAGGGGATGCGGATGAGGCTTCCCCAGGTTTGCCCAACAAGAAATGGGCCACGCCAGGATTGGTACCCGGACAGGCTGATGCCACAAGTCCTGTCCCTCCCGAATTCTGGGCAGGCTGGATGGGATGGACCCTCCCCTGCCCCATCACCCAGTGCTCAGCATGCGGACCCCACGGCGCCCACTCCCTCTGCCCTCGTGCGCCCCGTGCAGCGGGATCTCTTCCTGTTGCAGATAAGGAGACTGGGCACAGAGAGCCAGGGGGGCCACACGCTGCTGGTGTCAGAGCCGGTCTGTCCCCAGCACGCGGACGGGCAGCTGTGACACCTGACACCTGAGCTTCTCCGAGGCTGCCCCAGGGACTCCGCCAATGCAGGAAAAATTTGAAGTTATCTTTGACTTTTATGGCCCTTTTTCTTCTTATTAAGATGCTTAGAGCTGTAAGTGTAGTCATAAGGAGCTCATTTATCTTGGCGAAAGTGTGGCTATAAACTCTGTGGTCCTCGTGAAGGAGCCACCGAGATGATTGTCTCTGCTGGTATCGATAAATTCTGACACGGAGCAGGAAGGTCAGCCCCTGCCAGATAAAATGCCTTTTCAGCTTGTTAATTAAAGCTTTATAAGGACGTGGAAGAACGCACTCTGGGGGCAGACCTCAGAGAGAAGCAAGTAGCTGGGGCTTGGAGGGGGCCGCCCCGAAGCCTGCCTTGCACAGATGGGGAGCAGGCGGTGGCAGCAGGTGACTCGGGTGTCCTGGGATGAAACCCACCGTCCCCGGAAGCGGGAGGTCGGGGGCACCCGGCTCGGGAGCCCCATTGGCAGCAGACTCCTCCTAAAAGCCCGGGACTTCGGGCTTTGACCCGGGACCCGTCCCGTCTTCGGGGCTCCTCCCGCTGCCCTGGCACAGAGGGACCCCGACACACCGTAGCACGGTCAGGCACCCCTGACCATTGGAGTCAGTGTTTTCGCTGATGGAGTCAGCAGGTGAATGCTGTTTGTTCTGTGGGCAGCCTGCAGGCGTCCAGGAACTGCCCTGTGGCACGCTGTGTCTCTTTCTTGGCGACTGAGTGTAAGAATGAGGTCAGCGAAGCTCCCCCTGTCCTTCCCTCCCCACGCCCACCCACCCCGACCTCAGGGTCTCTGCCTCCAGCAGCTTCCATCCACCCGAGTCTCTCTGGGTCCCCGTCCTTCCCCTCCCGGACGGTAAATTCCTAAGGCACATGGACAGAAGTCCGACAACACGTGAGAGAGAGCCAAGTGCCGACCAGGAATGAAGGCTTCGAGCCCACAAGGCACATGGACAGAGAGCCAGGAAAGTGCCCAGAACAGAGACACATGCACCAAAGTGGACACCCAGAGAAACGAATGGCTGGTGCATAGGAACACCCCCAACGTAAACACACATGGCAGCCCTCGCAGCTGTATGCTGATGGGCTCAAAGACGCACGAAGACTGGACGCACATGCAGGGGGTGCACACTCCTCATCTGGAAGGGCTGCCCAGCCCCTCCCCACAGGCTGGCGGCATCCGGAGGGCTTGTATGGGGGCATCTAAGCCAGCAGGGAATTCCCAGGGAAAGTCGGTTGACGCCTGTTCTCTGGCTCCCATGGGTGTTGGGCCTGTATTTCTGTGGCCCTAGGATCTTCTGGCCGGCCCCCATCTACGCAGGAATCCCTGCAGTCCGGGGACCACACAGCTTCACTCACTGGTGACATCAAGCGTCCGTGTGGGTCTCTGATGCAGAACCTGCGAAGGGACAGGCCGTCTTCCTCTCAGCCTGTGGTCTCCAGGTTGGCAGAATCCCCTGGAAGCTTGTTAATCAGATGGGGCTCCGCGCCTGCCTCCACCTGTCCCTGCCTGGGCCGGCACAGGGATCCGACGGTGATGCTGATTGCCTGCAGGCCTGGGCCCGGGAGGGCAGAACCTTGTACACTCATCCCCTTGCAGAAGGTGGGGCAGAATCTTTTAAAATGTGGGCCTCGGGTGTGCTTGGGGTGTTCTTCTAGCACTGGTCACTGAACCGTGCTGGCGAGAGACGGAAGATGGCGCGACGAATCGAGAAACCTCCTCACGAAGGGACCACGTCTGTCTTTAAATGCTACCTGCTTTGCGCGTAAAGCTCTGTTCTGACAATTGTCCACAGTGGATTTCAAGTTAAATATGGAGGATTTGGCTCTGCACAGAGAGGCAGGCAGCTGGCTTAAGGACATGAACCCGCGCGGGGCAGGTGGCGAACTCGAGAGGCGGGAGGAGCCGGCCCGCAATCGGGAGTAGCAGCTCTGTGGTTCCTGGACCCTCCACTGTGTCCTCCAGGGATGGACGAAACCAGCACCAGAATCAAGATGGTGAACACATCCTTTCCCCTTCACAGTGCCCGGTGTCTTCATCATCCCTTCCTCCCATCCCCCCATCTCCATATAACCTCTGACCTATTTCCTGGTCCTGGAGATGAGTTTGCTGTTTCTGGAATTTTATAGAAATGGCGTCATACACGGGGCGCCTGGGTGGCTCAGATGGTTAAGCATCTGCCTTCGGCTCAGGTCATGATCCCGGGGTCCTGGGATCGAGTCCCGCGTCGGGCTCCCTGCTCCTTGGGAGGCTGTTTCTCCCTCTGCCTGCCTCTCTCTCTCTCTCTCTCTCTCTCTCTCTGTCTTTCATGAATAAATAAATAAAATCTTTAAAAAAAATAAATAAAATCTTTAAAAAAAAAAAAGAAATGGCGTCATACAGTATGTCCTTCTTCTATTTTTTTTAATTTATTTTTATTTTGGTGCCTGGCTCCTTTCATTCAGCCAAATCGTTCCGAGGTGCCTCCCTGTGGTTGCGTGTTTATCGGCTGCTCCTTCCTTTTGATCGCCGAGCGATAGTCCACTGGGTGCGGACAGCACTGGCCGTTCGGCCGTGGGCCTGTTCCCGCGCCCGGCCGTGGTGGGCAGAGCTGCGGCTGGCATTCCCAGGCGAGTCGGCTACAGCAGAGCACCCACCGACATTCACTGCTTGCCATTCTGGAGGCTGCGAGGCCCAGATCACCGCGCCGCTGTGCACGGGCGAGGGCCCTCTCTGGCTGGGGGACTTCTCACCACGTCCTCACATGGGGTCAGGGCTCCCATGGGGTCAGGGCTCCCATGGGGTCAGGGCTCCCATGGGGTCAGGGCTCATGGTCCCTCTGGAACCTTTTTTTTACAAGATACTAATCCAATTCCATTCATAAGACTCCACACTCCTGACTTACGCACCTCCTAACACCCTCACAACGAGAGCCTGGATTTCAACATGTGATTTTTTTTTTTTTTAAAGATTTATTAGAGTTTCAACACAGGAATTGGGGTGGGGGGACATAAGCATGTAGTCCATAGCACTAAGTGTATGTTGAACTTTATGAGAAATGGCCAAGCTATTTTGCAGTGTTCTTGTCCCATTTCATGTGCCCAAGAGCAGTGGATGAGCTGCTCCACAGGATCACCAACTCCTGATTTGGTCCATCCTTTCAAATGCAGCCATCCAGTAGGCGGGGCCCAGTAGCACATTGTGGTTTTAATTTGCATTTCCCTAACAACTAATGCTGTTTAGCATCTTTTCATGTGCTTATTTGTCATTTGCCTATCTTCTTTAGTGAAGTATCTGTTCAAATGTTGTGTTCCTTTATTTAATTGGATTGTTCTCTGATGATTGTGGGTTGTTTTTTTTTTTAATTTATTCATTTGAGAGAGGGGGGAGGGAGGGAGCACAAGCTTGGGGGGGTGGCAGAGGGAGAGGGAGAAGCAGGCTCCTGCTGAGCAGGGAGCCTGATGTGGGGCTCGATCCCAGGACCCTGGGATCATGACCTGAGCCGAAGGCAGACACGTAACCAACTGAGCCACCCAGGCGCCCCTCTGTTGATGGCCTTTTGAGAGTTCTTCTATATAGTCCAGATGCCAGTCTTTTATCAGAGAGGTGACTTGCAAGTGTGTGTTCTCAGTCTGGGGCTTTTCACTCTGTTCACACTTAAGCTTCAGGAGCTTTTAAATTCTTTTGTAGTCCAGTTTTTGTTAATCTGTTCTTCTATGGATCAGGTTTTGGTGTTATATCTAAGGCTCTTTTGCCTAACCAAGGGTCCCACAGATTTTTCTCCTGTGGTTTTTTCCTAGTTTTCTAGTTTTAGGCTTTACCTTTAGGTCTTGGATTCATTTTGTTGTTTATAAAAATAATTGTGCAAAGTATAGATTAATGTTGATTTTTGTTGGCTTTTAGTAGATGGGTATCAATATAAAAAAACCTTACTTGTAAAAAAGGAAGCTGAGGACTGTCTTCTGGACAATGCCATCCTGTTTCTTTCTCTGGTTTCCAAAATGTCTTGCGTGATGAAAACATACTTTTGTGGTGGTGAACTCCTGATGGAGAAAGGGAAGAGCCGAGTTTGCTGTCCCCATGACCCGACAGGTGGTGAGAGCCGCGCACCTGCTGGGTGGCCCTGGTGACCTCATCGCGGTGTCCCCGGTCCCGGCTCAGTGCCCCCTCCTGTCTTTCAGGCTTTGGGAGCCATCACTGCAGTGCCTGTCACGGGTCCTCAGGTCAGCTCCTTGCAGAGGTTGGCCGGGCAAGGAGCGGCGGTGCTACCTCAGGTAAGCAGCTCATGGTGGGCCCCGGGGGGATCTGCCTGTTCATCCCCAGACCCTCAAGCACTGAGGTTTTAGGCCGGCACTGAGCTGGGCAAGGACCCGCTTGGGCGTGTCCCATCCCCCTCCTTCCTCGTCTGCCTGTCAGGGGAAGAGACAGACTTTCCGACAAGACCTGGTTTTTATGATGAGGAATTGCAAAGTCATTTTAGTGGGTCTGGGCCACGGTTTTTTTTGTTTGTTTGTTTGTTTTTTTGTTCTTTTATTTTTTTCTTTAATGCAATAAATGAAGCTGAACTAGAGTAGAACAGAAAATATCAAGATGCACCTTAAATGTGGTTTCTTGAATAGCTTGTTTCTGGACTGGGTCATGAGGTAATAAAGATTTTAAACCATGGGTCAAGACAGTGCGAGAAACTCTGCATAAGACGATTCATTCGGGGGAGGCAGCAAGATGCTAAGCCAGGCACCCTGTCTTCGGTCCACGGCATCCTTGACTGGGCTCCGCACTTTGGACAACTCACCTGGCCTCTTAACCTGGCCGAGGCTCCCCTCCTGCAGAGGGACTGGTGCAGGTGTGTTCTTCGTGGCCGCGAGGCCGAACCAGATGGCCCAGCGCCTTTTTAGCCATGCCTGCTAGTGGTTAATCAGTGCTCAGCCTTGAGCGAGTGTTGTGTATGCAGTACCCTGGTGGCTCAGGGGTGAGGACAGTGCCTGACAGATGCCCCTCGCTCGAGGATGATAAAGGGCAGCTCTTGTCCTGGTGACAACCTTTCCTGAGTGCCCACCCGTGCTGAATCCCAACAGGCCCGGAGAAAGGAGAGAGCATAGAGGGTGGGGAAGGCCTCCGAAGGCCCCCGTGGGAGGAGGCCCGGCCTGGGTCTGTACACGTCTCGTCTCCAAGTGGCACCGACTGAAAGTCATGAGCTCTGGGGTCCCCTGAATAGGTTTTCTCTGGGTTGGAGGCCCCCATGCTCAGAGCCCAGCCCCCGCGGTCTGGGCACGGCTCCCCCACATGCAGAGCTGGGATTACATGGTGTTGCCCGGCCACTGTGAACCAGAGTGACCAGGTGCGGCGGGGGGTGGGGGGGTGCTGCCGACAGCACAGAACGGCTTCCCTTGACCTCGTAGCGGGGGATCCTCATTAACCACCACTCGCCCCATCTGCCCCCACCCGTCCTCTGCAGAGGCAGAGCGCAGCAGTCCCCTAGCTGGTGGCCATCTGAGGTTCCCACGTTCAGTATTGGTGTTGGTGTCAGGCTCTGATCCCGACCCCACGTACCAGGACAGAGCAGGACAAGATCATACGACTTGGTGGGTCCCCTGATGGGGGGAGGCCCTCGTGGTGGAAGGCCCACTTGGCGGGGCAAGGAAAGGACCCTAGAATCGCTAGAATTGAGGCCGGCTCCACGGCGGACGCTGGGAAGGAGAAGACAGACATGATACCAGCTTGACTGAGGGGCACGCGGCACTGAGCTGACCTGCGCGAGGTCACAGAGCCCTGTGGGAGCCGCCCTGAACCCCTCCCTCCACGAGCGTCACTGGCCAGGGTGGGGGTGCTGGGTGGGGTCAGCCAGCACGGACGCGAGGCAGGCTTCTGGAAGTCCTGAGTGCGAGTCCCGCTCCCCCAACAGTGACGGCTGGGGCGTCGTTCTTCTCCTGGGCTAAGTCCCTTCCTCTCCAGACCTCGATTTGCTCATCTGTAGAATAGGCCAAATACTTACTTCACAATGCAGTCACAGGGGGGCTCAAATAAGGTGGGGGGGGGGCACGTCCTCATCTGCCTCCTCGTCCCTAAGAGGGCGGAGCTAGCGCAGGTCTCACGGGGTTGGCGTGAGGCTCGTTTCTGGGGGCAGGAGCGCTGGGATGCTGGTGCCAGCCGACACTTGGGAGGCACGCATCACTTTGTGCATTCTCCCCACCCCCAGCGCACAGATGAGGTGCGCGCCCGAGACCGCACAGGCGCCGGAGGGGCAGGATCGGCCGCAGACGAGCCGTCCGGAGGCCTGGCCAGAACCGCGTCCTAGCCACCTGCACCCGCCTTAACTCCCTGCGTGTGGGCCTCTCAGAGGGTGACCTATGCCATCTCCGGCTTACAGCATGATGGCTTTCACAGGGAACGCAGCGGCAGCCCCCTCCAGGTCAGGAAGCCGACCGAGCGGGGGGCCAGGAGTCCCCGCGGCCCTCCCGGTCCCTGCCCCAGCGACAGCGCTCTGTGGACTTCTGACGTCAGAGGGACCTGACTGGTCCCCGTGCCGCTTTCCCACCCCTCCTTCCCTGTTCTTCACCATCTTATCTGAGTTCGGCTGGAAGGGGCTTCGGCCCAGAGTTGAGCCCCAGGGCCTCTCCACTGCTGTCCCCTCACGTCTAACATGGGAGGGCTCAGAGCCCGGCCACGTCAGTGCTCCAGTCCCCGCTGTGTTCAGGGCCGCCCCCTCCACCTGCCCGTGTGTCTGTCTGACCATGCACCTGTCCCTCCCTCCTCAGGTTAGGCCAAAGACTCTGATTCCAGACAGCCTCCCCGTCGCCCCAGGCCGGGACCGGCCACCCAAGCAGCCCCCGACCTTCCAGAAGGCCACCGTGGTCAGTATCAAGAACCCCAGCCCAGCCCTCCCCACCGCCAACAACACCGTGAGCCATGTGCCAGCACCCGGCAGCCAGCCCCAGGCCCTCGCTGAGCCCGCCGCCATCACCTCTCCCCTGAGCAGTGCCGGGGTGGCCTATGCCATCCTCACCAACGCCCCCAGCAATGCCGCCGCCATGGCCCCCAGCACTGCCGTGTCTGTGGTCAGCGACAGCGTCAAGGTCCAGCCCCTCCTCATCAGTGCCGACAAGAAGGTGGGTGTGTGCCCGCTCACGCTGGAGGCGGTTGCCTGAGCAGAGCGAGTGGTTGGCGGGAGGACCCCAGGAGCCCCTCGAATGAATGGGGTGCGAAGCGAGGCGTGAATGAGCGGTCACGTGAGTGCGTCCGCGCTGGAGAGGACGGGCTGCGCAGGAATGACCCTGCAAGCGAGCGACCCCATGGTGGGAGGGCTGGCGGTATGAGGGGAGGGGAAGGGAACGGGTCAGCACGTGAATGACGCGGTGCGGATGCAGGGGCGTGCGACTGAGCGAACACATGGCTGGAGGGATTGATATCGGTGGAAAAAGAATGAGTGGTCAATGAGTGAATTACTTCCCTCTTTGGAATCATGAATTAACCAGTAAGATGCGTGGCCGGTTGAATTCCCAGAAGAGGCCCGTCCTGGTGGTCGGTTTCTGGCTGGTGTAGTTGGGTGGTTGAGGACTTTGGGGGATGCCCGGTGCCGGAATGGAAAATCTGTGATTTCTTGCCTAGATTTAAAACTGAAACTGAGGTCCTCTCCCTGTCCCCCTCCGAGCTCCTTGGGGATTGGGAGGTTTGAGGCCTTTGGGACTGCAGGGCTGCGTGAAAGGTACCACTTCATCTCTTCAGCCTCCTTTCCTCTGTGCCCAGTTTGGGGCCTGCCAGGCCGCCTCTCTCTTATCTGGGGCCAGCGTCCCTCCCAATTTCCAGCCTGAAAACTGGTGCTCCACTTTCGTGCACCTGGATTTTACTGCACATAGCGTATGTCTGGGAGTGTTATGCTTCTGGGCCCTCCCACCCGTGGACGGGAGCCCCGGGGATGCTCAGTCATCACAGGATGTGCTCGGATGGGGAGACGTGTTCCTCAGGACCACACCCGGTCCCCAGGGGGCGCTTCACAGGCGTTTGTGGGATGCCTTTGTGGGATGTGTGTACCCTTTCCACTGCAAGCTCACCAGCATTCAGTGCTGTCATTTTAAACACTTTTTGCTCACTTAATTGGTGCAAACAGATGCTCGCTGTTGAAAGTTGAATTCCTTTGGTTATTATGAAGCTTGAATGTTTCCCCCATACTTTTCAAGAATTCTGTCTCCTTCTGTGTGACTCGTTTGAGAATGTTTTTCGCCCTGCTTTCTACTGGGGATCTTAATGTTTTTCTTCCCGTGAATATAAAGAGGGGCATTTTTTTTTTTCCATCCAGAGAATCCTGGGGTTTTAAAATTGTGATACAAAGGAGAACAAAGAGCCCTCCCTTAAGCCAGCAGAAAAACAGATGCATTTTTTCTTCCTGTTTAGGAGCGTCAAATTCACAAGACAGTCACGTTCTTAGGGGGAAAAATACAAGTTCAGGTTATTCCTGGCTTGGTTGAGACCCTGGCTGTCTGCTCCCGGTGAATTCCTTCCCCTGGATCTGTGAAAGATAATGATTCTTTCCCAGTATCCCATCCAAAACATTAATAAAGTAGTTGAGCCACAGATGGAGGGGACCCCCACCCAGGGAGGGGCTGGGCTTCGTAAATTGCTTTCGGACTTCTCAGCCTCAGACCCTTCAATCAAACCAAATGGTAGCCATGAACCCCGGTGACAGCTGGCTGAAGTAGGGCCACTCTGGGCCTTGCTGAGCAGGGTCCAGAACCCACCTCCCCCTTCTCCACCCCTTCCCTGCCCAGGCCAGGTTTGAAAGCCTTGGACATAGTGCCCTGGGGGCCCAAGGGGCAGGCTGGGGAGAGGACAGGCTGGGCAGTGCACTCAGACAACCCCCTGATGAGCTCAGGTGGCAAATCTGAGCTCTCTTGACCTGTCTCCCTGCACTTGAGCTGGAGATAAAGAAACCAATGTCTTTTGAGTCTTTGCTTCCCGAATCTTCACCACCTCCCTGGAGGCAGGATTGCAAGGAAGCTGAGGCTCAGAGAGGCCAAGTGATCTCCCTGAGGCCACACAGCTGTGACATGCTAGCACAGGATTGAACCCAGGCCCTTCTGCTTCCTAAACCAGGCTCGTACTCAGGCAGCCCTCACGGTGTAAGGGGCTGTCCAGAGGCGCACACCCTCGGTGCAGGCGCCCCATGGACCAGAGAGCTGGGTGCAGGCTTCCTCGTTCCTCTGTAATCCCAACTTCCAAGGCCCCTCGCCACTCTGGCCCCCCTGGCTCCCCCCGCCCTCCGCAGTGGCTACCCCTCACCCCCACCCCTCTGCCACACCTTCCAGGTCATCATCATCCAGCCTCAAGTGCAGACGCAGCCTGAGAGCACGGCAGAGTCGCGGCCACCCACGGAGGAGCCATCTCAGGGAGCTCAGGCGACCAAAAAGAAGAAGGACGACCGGCCCCCGAGCCAGGAGAACCCCGAGGTAGGGTGGCTGGGCTCTGGAGGTCGCCGTAGGAGGCGGGGAGCCGCCCTGTGCAGTGGGAGCTCCTGGTGGGGGCTTGTCCCGGGAGCCTCGTCCCGGTCTACTTTGCCCACGGCGTGGTGGTGCGGGGCAGGGGTTAGCACGGATTCTAGAACCAGGGAGCCTGGCTTTGCATCGCTTGCAGCTGTTGCTCTGGCAGGGTGATGGGTAGAACCTTCCAGAGATTGCACATTAGTGCCACCCCCCCCCCAACCTCCCCCTCATGGCGCCATCCTAATCCGTGACTAACACAGAACCACCTGCTCTGGGGGGGGGGTGTGAGAGGCCAGCAGCTAAGGCTCAGTCATTCTTTGTTAACTTCTGGTCCCAGCAGGTGACCCCTCTTAGGTTACTGCTTGCATCCTCTGCCATCCCGGGCCACAGTCAACACTTCAGGCCTTTTTCCACACAGCTGCCAATTCTCGTACATCCTATAAGACTCACTTCAGACATCCTCTCCTCCAGGCAGCCTTCCCTGACCACCTCACCTCGGTGGGCAGAAGAGGCCCCTTGGGGCTCCTAGAGCTTCTTAGGGTTCTTTTTATCAACATGCTGTCAGTATCGAAAGAAGTCAGTCTTTCATCCATTCATTATTCATCGGACATATCTTAGAGTTGGCTCTGTGCCGAGGGTTGGGACGCCGAGCTGGGGCAGATGGAGTCCTGGCCCTAGGGGACCTCACTGCTCCTGGCACAACCACTGGGACTTCAACTTCGGCTAAAAAAATCTCAAGCGTCAGCAGAGAATTACAAATCCAGAGCTGTGGGAGGTGCAGGGAGAAGGAGAGAGCGTGTTTGCACCCAGAAGGCCTGGGGAAGGCTTTGCAGAGGAGGGGCGGGATCAGCAGGGCCCCGGGGGAGCAGGTGGGGCTTCAACAGAGGGGCAGAGGGGGGGTGGGATGGCGTGTGGTGCAGAGGGCGCTGCCTGGGCAGACGCATGGAAGGTGGGAAGGCACTTGGCAGGCCCAGGAGAGTCGGCTAGTCTACTTGGATCGCAGGCAGCATGGATGCCTGAGAAATTCTGAGCACGGGGTTAGAGGGACGTTGGAGCCTCATCCTGGAGGACCTGCATGCGGGCTGCCAAGGTGGAACTTTATTCCCTGGGCAGTGAGGAACCACAGAATATCTTTGGGCAGGAGAGTGACTTGATGATTGTCCTTTGAGGTGTCCAAGAAGCCTGCAGGGAGTCAGAGTCCACTACTCGCTGAGGCTGAGATGGAACCAAGTCTGGTCTGTTGCCCCGGGCCCTGTTTGTTTCAAGAGGCACTCTTGGTGCCGTGGGAGCGCCTGCTGTATGCATGGTGAGCCCCGGGCCGGCTCGCAGCCTGAGGTTCCCACACGCACCCTCTGTCCTCCTGTGGGGTTGCACCCATTGCATCCTCGCAGGTTTTCTGGGTGGATTCTCTGTGTTCTCTCAAAGTATATCGGAGCCAGTTATTGTGCGTTTATACAATTAGTATAATTACATTTAACTACATAATTAGTGTAAATACGTGTAATGACTTAAATAGAACTTGTAATTACAACATGTCCTGGTGTAAAAATCCTTATTAAACTTTCTTTTTAAAGAGGTCTGGGAACATTGTGTGGTGCAGACGCGGGGCTTTGTGGTACCCTTCAGAACGTGTTCACGAAGAGCCCAAGTTAGGAGCACTTGAGGCCAGAGCGGCAGCTGCCCCAGAAACTTCATCAGATGAGCCCGTTGGAGCCCTGGGGTGGCTGGTGACGATCGGTGGCTCCCAGGGCTGTGTGAGCAAGCCCTGAGCGCCCGCAGCTGGGAGCTCAAGCTGCCCGTGGCGGGCCAGCCTGGTGGTGGAAAGGAGCCTCCGGTTTACCAGCACCCCAGGACCACTCCAAGGCTCTGCCCGCTCTTCCCTGTTTCAAGGCTCATGGCCTTCTTTAGGACAGAACTGTGGCCTTTTCTGTGACACCCTTTATCCTGGCCTCGGGCAGCATCTGACTGAGACCGGCCACCCTGAGACCAGCATGTGCCTTGCAGGGGGGCAGCCAGAGCAAGGGTCCCAGCCCGGTATGAGCTCTGACTGCAACCCCAGGCCCAGCCACCTCCCTGGGCAAGACTTGTGCACACAGATGCTCCTTCCCTCCATGCCACCCCTGTTACCATGGCCCCCATTCCTGCCCCATCCCTTCCTGCCCCTGGATGGGTTCCCCCCTGCGTATTCTCCCGGCAGCTGGAAGGATCTTTCTAAAATTCAGAAATAACCGAGTCACCCCCCTTCTTGAAACCCATCAAGAGCGGCTCGGGCAGGCTTCTGATGTAGCGCTCTGCTGCAAACACACAAGAACAGCAGATAAAATGTAGGAACGTAACCGAACGAACGTGAGTTCACTTCCTGGCGAGTCAGATATGCCAGGTGGAGTGATCGCACAACGTAAACGTTATTTGCAGCAAATGAAATCACAGGGAATCGCTTCCAATGCAGTGACTCCCCAAGACGGGGTGAATGGGTACCTTTTGTTTAGGGTTAGGATGAATATTTAGATGGGGAAGCCTTGTCATCCTTCGTAGAGGTGGGCATAAGGTCGCACATGCATGTTAGGGAAACACACCTGTACGTACATTGTACGTTATGTAAACGCAGCTGAGGTTCCTCCGTGAGCAGAGATGTTAGCACTGCAATGATTTTAGTTCCGTAATGGAGTCCTGTTGCTCCATGGCCCATCTGTGCAAGCACGAGCCAAGTTTAGTTCAGACGGTCGTGGTGGTCTGGGCAGGGGCCATCCCCTGAGGGGTGGTTTTGGGTTTCATTTGCCTGAGTTAAGAGGTAAGCCTGAAAGAAGAACTTCAGGAAGAATGTAAGATGGAGGCGGAGTCAAGGTCAGGTGTTGGGCTCTAGCTGGCTACAGGAAGAGACCACAGAGATGTAGCTATGCATTGCCGTGTCCCAGAAACACAGGCAGTGAGCAGGACCGATGCCCAGGCCACCGGACTCCAGAGACAGAGTCGAGTGAGGGTGACCAGGAAGGGCACGGCTCACACGTGGCCAGAGGTCCCAGAAGTTCTCCAAGAAAGAAAGGCTCCAACCTGAGCTTGAGGCCACAGCTGCCCCCGGGGAGGGTGGCAAGGCCAGGGTGATGGCAGTCCTGCCCAAAGGGAGGGGTGAGCAGGAGGCAGAGAGAATAAAAATGCAGAATAAAGAGAAAAAGGAGTAGTATCCAAAATGACCCTGTGGACAGAATTCTGGAATCCATGCAGCAGCCCCTGCGAAGGATGGCGGTCAGAGTCAGCATCTGGAACTTGAGTTTATTCAAGAGGAAGTTAACTTTGTGGCGTACTCTAGCAACGAATGACACATAAGTACGTTTAGGATACTCAGGCAAGTATCTTTCAGAAAGGAATAACATCCACTTGAATTCAGTAAGAATAAGGAAGCAAAAAATATCATGAAAAATAAAGTAAGATCAGGTGAACGCAAAAATTGTTTAAAAATCTGGGAATGAAAAACATGGTAATTGGTTGGAATTTAAAAAGGTACTGGACAGAATGAACAGGCATAATTAACGCTTTAGAATACACCACCACAGGGGCGCCTGGGTGGGTCAGTTGGTTAAGCATCCAGCTCTTGATTTCAGCTCAGGTCATGATCTCAGGGTCATGAGATCGAGTCCCACATCAGGCTGTGCGCTGGGCATGGAGCCTGCTTAAGAGTTTCTCTTTCCCTCTTCCTCTGTTCTACCCATCCCACCAAAAAGAAAAAAAAAAAAGAATACACCGCCCCGGATGTAGCACAGAGATACAAAGAAGCAATGATTTATAATATATATGGAATGAAGTCAGTTCACTGGGCAGATGCTTTTGAACTGCTTCCCACCATCCTCTGCACAGAGCTGGTCCAGGGACATTCAGCTCCTTCAGTGACCTTTGATAAAAGGAGGCATGGGGCATAACATCATTGCAAAGCCATCCTAAGGAAAAATAAGGAAAAGAGAAGCATTTTTTTTACCATAAAATAATAATCATTAGATTAAAAAAAAAAAATCAACACCTTACTATGAATTCAAAGAGAGAGAACAGTAAAATAGTCACCACCAAGGAAGAAGTTACAAGGCTTAGGGGAGGAGATGGCTGAGTGGCCACCATACCAGAGAGAACGAAGCATGAGCTGGAATTATTCCCGGAAATAAATCTGTAAGTGGATGAGCTCAGGGGGCCCTAGACACAGCCGAGGACAGAGGACACAGTGAGGCACAGGGGAGGCGGGAGTGAGCAAGCAAAGTGCACACAATAAAAAAGTAAGAATGAGTTTTTAAGTAGTCAAGAGTGACCCTGACAAAGACAAGCAAAGAGGACACAGCTGATGTGTAAGCGGAGACTTCTGGGCCGGATCCCAGAATTACGGAGCCAAGTAGAGGAAGTGACATTTTGCATCACCTGCAGTGATGTGGGTTTGGCTCTGCCGTATAGGCAGTTGGCTCCCATTTCTTGTCTTCAAGTGAATGTGGGCTCAGGTTATCTCCTGTGGAAGAAGGGGTGGCAGGAAGGGGGAGCTTGGTCTCCACGTTGCTGGTATTTGCTCAGCCCAGTCTTTCCAGGTGGGGTCAGCGAGGCAGGTGCCAATACTGGGGGGGGGGTCCCCGAGAATCCCTGCCACCATGCAGTCAGCCCCGGGGCTCAGAAACAACACTAAAGCCAGGTGGCCCCAAACTGCAGCCTGGACTGCTATGGGCTGAATCTGCCAGACCCCAGAATCCCCTCTGTGGGCACGTTAACCGTTTTGTTAGTCTTACATTCGTGTGAGTGCACACCTTCCAGGATAGAATTAATGGGCCCCGCTTTTCATGGTGTGGTGGTGCTTCCTGATTTTTTGAATATGATTTGAGAAAAGTTTACTGAAACCAAAGGAGACTATGTGCATGTTAATGGACTGTGTCCCCAGTACTGGGCACCAGGGAAAATGAACGTGTGCACCAGAGGAGAAGGGTCAATACTGACACATAACCCAGCACAGAAGCATCCAGAAGGCATCCAGGCAAAAGTGATCACGTCACTCTGCAGGGAAAACAGCCGGCTTCTGGCTTTTCCATGCAGGATTCGAGTCCAGAATACAGTAGAGCAATATCTACACCATCCTGAGGAAAGAAGGGAGGAGCCGACGATTTTATGTCCAGCCCAGCTGGCCTTCAAACTGAGAGGTTGCACATAGGAGGGTTTAAATCTGCCCAAGAACTCTGGAAATGCGGCTCCATGGGCCTGGCTCCCCGCCGCCGAGTCGGCTGAGAACATAGATACTAAGTTCTCCAACAACATCCAAAGGCTTCACCTCTAACCCTGCAGGGAGAGTGCCTGAGAAGGTGGGAGGCAGCGTGAGCTCTCGGCCAGTCTCCTCTGTAGTAGCCGAGGTTTTCAGTGACTCAATGAAGATCACAGAAAGCTGACAGATTGAGGAGGAGAACTATTTTTAACAGCGTAGGAGTAAAAAAAAAAAAAATGCAAAGAAACAGTGGGCAGTCACTATTTGAAATGGTGTAGAAAACCCAAGAGAATCAATTAAAAAATAAAAACAAAACTACTGCAGACAGAATCTGGCACGGCAGGGTTAATATTAATGCAAGCCATTGATAATCGTCACAGAAACGCAGAGCATCCTGCTAGAAGGCTTACAGATACCCCTACTTACAGTAGCAACAAACAGATTAAATATCTAGGAATAGGGGCAACTGGGTGGCTCAGTCGGTTGAGCGTCCAGACTCATGATTTCATCAGGTCATGATCTCGGGGTCAAGAGATCGAGCCCTGTGTCGGCTCCATGCTCAGCAGGGAGTCTGCTTGAGATTCTCTCTCCCTCTGCCTCTCTCTCTAGAGGTATCTCTCTCTACCTTTCTTTAAAAAAGAAAAGAAAAACCTAGGGGCACCTGGGTGGCTCAGCTGGTTGCACATCTGCCTTCAGCTCAGGTCATGATCCCAGGATCCTGGGATCGAGCCCCACGTCGGGCTCCCTGCTCGGCAGTAGGTTTGCTTCCTCTGCCTCTGCCCCTCCCCCCCGCTCACTCTTTCTCAAATGAATAAATAAAAAATCTTTAAAAAATCTAGGATAGGGGCGCCTGGGTGGCTCAGTCGTTAAGCGTCTGCCTTCGGCTCGGGTCATGATCCCGGGGTCCTGGGATCGAGCCCCCCATCGGGCTCCCTGCTCCGCGGGAAGCCTGCTTCTCCCTCTCCCACTCGCCCTGCTTGTGTTCCCTCGCTGTGTCTCTCTCTGTCAAATAAATAAATAAAATCCTAAAAAAAAAAAACTATTAAAAAAACTAAAAGAAAAAGAAAAATCTAGGATAAGCGCACTAACAGTCGATACCCACTGGAGGGTAATTTTGAAACCCCTAAAGGCAGAAGAACAGAGAGGCGCACCGTGGTTCTGGAAAGGAAACCTTTACATCCCAGGAAATAGACCTCAGTCTCCTTCTCGGTTTCTACGTTTCAAGTGAAAACATAAGCAAGAAGAGCCAAGGAAACGCTGGAGGAACAGGACAGGAGGCACAGGAAGAGACCACAGAGACCCCTGATCATTCAGTGTATGATTAAAGGGGCTCCTTAAGCCAGTGAAAAGTGGAACGATGGAATTTTCAATAGGTGGGATTGGAACAAACGAGTAGTAGCCATACGAAATAAAAGGAATCCATCCTGCACACCGTCTACACCAGGGTAAATTCCAAATGGATCCAAAATTTGAATGTGAACAGTGAGGGGCTCAGTTGGTGGTGCATGGGACTCCAGGTCTCAGGGTCGTGAGTCTGAGCCCCACGTTGGGCGTGGATCCTACTTAAAAATAAGAAGAAGAATAAAATAAATGTAAAGAGTGAAATTATAGGTACTACAATCGAACACAAGCAACTTGCTTTGTAACTTGAGTCTATAGCTAAGATTCAAAAACCCAAACAATGTAAAAGAGAATACTGGTAATTTCTACTACACACAAGTTTTCTTCGTTTAAATGGCCAAAAAAAGCATCATTCCCACCTCCTGAAGTGTGAGTGGTGCACAGCCACTTCCTCCCAACTAGGACAGTGTGGACGGCGGAAAGAGAGGGGTTTTGCTGTGGAGAAGGCTGAGCCCGGCAGCGCCCCAGCCAGGTGATCGAGGGCAGCGGCCGAGTGATAAGTCACGCTGATAACATGTACCCCGGATATGGGAAGGGCACCTCACCTCTGTAGTCTCCCGCCCCCAAGCCCATAACCCAGTCTAATCATGAGAAAACCATCAGACCAGTCCCAACCGAGGGGCATCCTGCCTGGCCAGCCCAAGCTCCAAATAAATGGTCAAGGTCACCAACAACAAGGGAAGCCTGAGAATCTGGCACAGCCCAGAGGAGCTAAGGAGACACAGCAACTTAATGCAGCGTGGGATCCTGGATGGGGTCCTGGGACAGAGAACGGACAGTAGGTAAAAACGAAGGAAACCCGAAACTGATAAGCCAGCCCCATCGCGGAGGTGCTCAGCCAATGTTTATTGAATCAACAAACGTGGAAGGCTGTGTTAACGCTTCTCTGTTTCCTTCCCTCAGAAAATCGCCTTCATGGTAGCTCTAGGCCTGGTCACAACGGAACACTTGGAAGGTAAGGACCCTGCATGGTGGCAGGCTGGGGTGGTGGCCATGGGGTGCTGGCTGGTGGGAGGGCAGCACACATGAGTGAACCGCCTTCTGGGAGGTCTGTCCCAAGTGCCAAGGGTTGTCAGCACAAAGACCAAGAAAGCCTCCCTGCTCTCCCTGGCTCCATGGCTGTGTGCACAGAGCCCACTTTCTGATTCTGGCAAAGGAACCGTGTGGGTCCCCTGCTCCCACGTTGCACGCAGCCCAGGGGTGTGGATGCTGGAGCCAGAATGCCCAGTCCTGCCACTTGCTAACCACCCAGGCTTGGGCCCTCCCGGTCACGTCTGAAGGTCTGTGTTCGAGTCCCGGTCGTGCTGCTTCAAGCTGGGTGATCTTGGGCAAGCTCCCCCCACTCTGAACCTCAGTCTCCTCTTCTGTAACACGAGGAACACTGCACCTTGAAACTTTGCAGCGTTATCATGAGGACTGGGATGAAAAAGCTTCCCTGATACCGTCATGACTGTTAGGATTTTTATAAATAGCCCTCCTTGTAAAAATTCTCTCCCCACCCCTGATGCCCTAAATATTTATTTATTTGGACCCTGTCTTCCACAGAGGGTCTGGGGTGCCTTACGGGAAACACATGAATGATACTGCAAAGATTTAAAAGGGAAATTTGGGAGTCCAAAAGACAAGTTAGGAAAAAATGTCAAAACAGCTGTATTCAGAGAAACAGGTCCCAGGTTCCACCTGGCAGGCAAAACAGAAGGAAGGAAAGGCGGGGACCATTCGTGTGGGGTGGTCACTGTCACTACGTGAAGCACACCACACTGGGGGCCCTTGCAGAAGGATTCGTGTTGGAGGCTTCAGGTGGGCAGAGCCTACCTGAGCGGCAGGTGGACGGGTTCCTGCGGGAGCCCTGAGCCTCACTGTGCAGCTGGGCCGGGCCAGTGCCTGGCCGACGGACATCCCACGAGAGACGTCCCCGGGGTGGATGATGGCACATGGGGAACCCCGTGCTGAGAGCGGGTACCTGCCACCCTCCAGCCCGAAGCCAGCCCATCCGTCTGCCTCGGAGGGAGCGATTCGGGGGGGCCACTCTGGGGCGGGGATGCTGGGCAGACGGAAGCCGTAGGGCCGGAGGGGTTGGGGACGCCCGGAGCTTGCGGAGGAAGGGTTCGGGGTTCCCAGGCCAGGGAGGATCCAGTAACGGCTGTGTCTGTGCCTCTCCAGAAATCCAGAGCAAACGCCAAGAGCGGAAGAGAAGAAGCACAGCTAATCCTGCGTACAGTGGCCTCCTGGAGACGGAGGTGAGGCCCCGCCCTCGCGCACCTGCCCTGCGGCTGCCTCCCTCCCCTGCCCCTCTGGGCATTGGCGTTCAGGGCACGACAACAAATGGGGTCCTCCTTCCCCTCCTGAGTTCAGAGTCAGTTGAGAGACAGACGCCGGAGATCAGAATGTCATTGGCCGCCCCTGCCCTCTGCTTATACCCCTCACTTCCTCCTTGATTTCCTGAGCTCGCTCAGGGGTGGAGGCCGTGCCTCCCACGGGGCAGAGCCTTTGCTGACGCACAGGCTGCTCCCCTGCCCCGCGGGTCCGTCCCCGTTGCGACCTCCGGAGCCCTGGGTGGGGAGCCTGTCCCGGGTGCGTGCTGGGCAGGGGCAGTGTCACCGAGGAGGGCTCCGCGTGAGCTGCTTTTGTTTTGTTTTTGGTCCCCTGCAGAGGAAACGGCTGGCGTCCAACCATCTCAACACCCCCCTGTTCCTCACAGCGAGAGGTAGGTGCCCGCAGGCCGTGGCTGCCCCGGGGCCTGAGGCTGTCGGCGTGGGTGGCCCTCTGCTCCTGGCGTGTGTAGGGCTGGCCCGGCCCGGCCGCAGCGGGACAGAGTTGCTTTCTGGTGGACGGTGCACTCCGGCTCCCGGGCCCCCCACACCATGGCCTCCTTTGCCCCGATACCCTCTCTGGGGAGGAGGTGGGCCGGCGGAGCCTGCTGCCGTCTGACAGGTGTCAGAACCAGGGCTCCGAGCCGGGACGACGAAGAGAGGCCTGGACGTGACGGCACGTGGTAAATGCTCGTGTGTTCCCTCTGGACGGTTTCATCCGCGGACTGCTCTGAGCCAGCAACTGAAAGGAAAACCATGTTTTGTGATCATTAAATGTGTGGTTTGGCATCACTTACTGGAAGGAGAGTGGGTTATGGACAGACAAAAAAACAAAAAACCGCAGTTGAAAATAAGTCACTCTGAGAGGTCCCTGAAATGATCTCTCCCCCACTGGGCAGCCCACTGCCCATCCCATGGTGGGTCCTGGCCACGACCAGGGCAGAGACCCTTACTTCCGCCGTGCGCCGGGTGAGAACACCATGTCCCGGGCCCGTGATGCTCCCGTCCTGCCCCGGGGTGGGAACCCCTGCCCCACCGGGCCTCGTGGCCCCCGGTCCTGATTGGTGTTCCTCAACTCCCACTAACATGTTCTCCGCCCTTCCTCCCTGTGCCAGCCAATGAGGACCCCTGCTGGAAGGTAGGTGTCCCCTCGCCGGCACACCTGGGCGGGACGGGTGCAGGCGTGGGCGCTCCAGGCAGGGGAGAGCCGAGCGAGCGGAGGGCCTTTGGGCTCCTTGCGCGATACCAAGAGCTTGGCAACCCCAGCCAGGCCGTTGTCCAGCCAGCCTGGCAGAGTCGGGCGTCCCCACAGGGTCAGCCCACAGGCTGCTCAAACACAAGCTCTCTCCACCCACGGCTGAGGACGAAGGGACCCCGGGAGCCAAGAAGGCCCAGGTGGAGGCAGCTGATGCCGGCCAGGCTCTACCTGGCTCTGCTCGGCCCTGCTGTGTGACCCCAGGGGGAGCTGCCTCTCTCAGGGCCCCGTTGCCCGCCTCGTGAGGGTCTAGACCTAGTAAATCCCCAGGGTCTCACCCCTCAGGACTCCCCTTTCTGTGATCTTGTGAGACCCCGATTCCCCGAGCACGCAGTGTGTCCCTGCTTCCCAGGACACAAGCTGGTCGTGACCTCATGGTTTTTTTTAGGATTTTATTTACTTATCTGAGAGAGAGAGAGCACAAGCAGGGGGAGTGGTAGAGGGAGAGGGAGAAGCAGACTCAGCACTGAACGGGGAGCCCGATGCGGGGCTCTATCCCAGGACCCTGAGATCGTGACCTGAGCTGAAGTCAGTTGTTCAACCGACTGAGCCACCCAGGCGCCCCGTGACCTCCTTTTTTAAATAAGTTTTGGATCTAATTCTAGAAGAATTTGTAGCCCCTACATGCCTGTAACAGTTGGGCCACTAAGCAGCAGCAGGTGACAGGTCTAAACTCTGGTGATACCGGGCTTTTTGCCACCAGAATGGTGTAGTGTCACAGACTGGTGCTGGTGGCTTGTCCACAGACACCTGTGCCCAACCAGTGTGGACACAGGACGTGCCTGGAGCCTGAGCTCCGCTTCCGCAGACCCCAGTCCTGGAGGAGCCGTGGCTTCGAGGCGGGAGACCCCGCTGCTGGTCCTGCGTCCACCTGCAGCTTACTGAGCCATCCTGGGCGCATGGCTCGCCTTCCCTGAGCTCCTGCACTGAAATGAGAAGTGACAGCGAGTCTCTGAGGCCTCATCTCTGTCTGCTGCCCCCCTCCCCCGTCAGGGGTGGCCTGGGGTCCAGGGTCTTCGTGGCGTGGGCCGTTCCAGATGAGAGCCCTCTGGTGAAGTCAGAAGGCCCTGCTGCCATGTGGGTAGAGAACAGACGTCCCGTGCGTGGAGAAGATTTTCTAGTGGGTGGTGGAAAACCGTTCAGACTTTGCAGGTCACGGGAGGCGTGGGGTTATGAAAGGCTCCTCTCTCTGTCAGGGCTGTCCACAGTGCAGCAGGCTGGCTGGGGAGGTAGTGAGCTCCCTGTCCCCACAGCTGTGTAAGCAGAGGTTGAACCACCAAATGCGGGCGACTCTGGAAGGGACATTTGAAGTTCCTTTATCGCAGGGAAAGAGGAAGTCACCCCTTACCAGGCTCCTACATGGATTGTGTTTTGTGCGCCGTGTCCTGTTGAGTCTTCCCAGCATCCTGTGGGGCAGGTGTCACTAGCCCACGTTACAGATGTGGAAACGGAAGAACACAGTAACCCACCCGGGATGTTGGGAGATGCCAGGTTGGACCGAGGTGTTGTCAAGAGCACTGGGGAGAACCGTGGCCGCGTACCTCCCAAGGCCATGCGCGCATGAAGAACGCGCGGGAGGGAGGCTTTGTGATCACTTGCCTGCCCCCCCCCCCAGGATATTGCTCTGTGGGACATTGGGGACCCAGGGGGACTGTTTCCTGAGCCACAGCAGGACCGCCTGCCCCGCCACCCACTCCTGGTGTCCAGGTCTCAGCTGGGATGAATCAGGGTGCTGGGGCCACACCTCGCCTGACTCTGACTCGGTGGCCGTGTCCCTAGTAAAGGTGGCCCAGGTGGTGCCCTAGAGTCCATGTGACAGGCAGCTGCTCGTCCCCTGGTTCCAAGGCTTGTCCCTCTCTCTCTTGGAGCTGCTGAGAAACAGTGGGTCGCAAGCAGGTCAGGGCGGCAGCTGCCTGGGGGGCCCCCAGCTCCCTCCCAGCCCTGCTGACCTGCCTCCCACCCTCCCTTCTCTTCCAGAGTGAGATCACCCACGCTGAGCACTGTGCTGCCTGCAAGCGAGGGGCCAACCTGCAGCCTTGCGGCACCTGCCCAGGGGCCTACCACCTCAGCTGCCTGGACCCGCCCCTCAAGACGGCGCCCAAGGGCGTATGGCGGTGCCCCAAGTGCCAGCAGAAGGTATGGGAGGCTGTGCTGCCGACTCTCTCCCTGCACCGAAAGACCCTCCCCCGGCATAGCATCTGAGGCTGGATGATCTGCTGGGCTGGGCCCGTGCACTGTAGGGGCTCAGCAGCACCCCCGGCCTCTGCCCACTAGAGGCCAGGAGCATCCCCATAGTGGCCTGAGATCTCAGACACTGCCCACGGAGACCCACTGGTGACGACTGAGCAGAGGTGTCCCTGTGCAGCTACCTGACCCAGTGACTCCCCCTCTGAACTCCAGACTCCCCCTGGGGAGACCAGGACTACTAGCAACGCAAACCGCAAAGACAGTGCTAGCTAACACGTTCCTTCTCCTTGCCCCCACACAAATGAAAACCTCGCAGGTTCAAAAAAACAGTAACACTCCCTTCTGGTGATGATGCGGGGGAGGCAGACACTCCGCATTGCAGAATTTTATCAAGAGCCTTAAAAATGTATATATCTTTTAAATGCAGAATCTAGGTTTGGGGAATGTAGTCTCAAGAAAGAATCCAAATACCAATAAAGTTCTGTGCACGAAGAAGCCCCTCGCCCCATAGTTATAAAGAGATACAGCTGCCTCGCAGCAGTAGGAGACAGTGAAATAAATTCCAGCATGTGCACGCAAGGCGATGTTTTGTGGTCATTGAAAATGATCTTTACAAAGAGTTTGTGATTCTTTCGGGGCTTGTTCTCTATGTGGAATTAAGTTTTTGAAAAAGAAAACACCAGGCTTTATAGTGGCTGTATGGTTTAGTCATTAGCCCCCTGAGAAAAGCTGCAGGTAGAATAAAAACCGTGGGAGGACATACTTCCAAATGTTAGAATCACGTGGGAAGTAGCAGTGCTTTTTTGTGAAGGACGTTTTTCTATATAATGCATATGTGTTACTTGTAAAATCATAGGGGAATCATTTTTATTTCAGAAAACACTGATTCTCGGGGGTTCGCATCACCCCGGGGACCTAGGGAGAGGGTGGGTACAGGGGACCTATGTCATGGTCTCCTGTGGGGGCCAGCAGCCCCTGCGCTATGACTGCCTGGGGCTCACAGCTCTCTGAGGGAAGACAGAGAGGGCACAGGATTATCTGCCTGAGTTCAGCACGATGGTGGGGCCTCCCTGGCCAACTGAAGACAAGAGCACAGTGGAGCTGCTCTCGGGTCCTCAGGACAAGGGAAGAAGGCAGGTGGTCATTCATGGATGCATTCAGTCAAGAACTGGGGCCTCCTCCACACCAGCACCAAGGGGGGCCTTGGCAAGAAACAGTTCCTGCCCTCAAAGAGCTCTGTGAGCCAGATCGTGAGACAGGGGCAACCCCACCCCATCACGGTTGAGGGACCTACTGCTCAGAGAGCCTGTGTCCGCCCCGCCCCCCGCCCAGGGTTGCACGGCCAGGCCGTGGCAGGTTCTGGCCTGTCCGCTTGCTCATCAACCCGTCTGCTCTCTAGGCCTTAAAGAAAGACGATGGCGTGCCCTGGACCGGGATGCTGGCCATTGTGCACTCCTACGTCACCCACAAGACGGGTAAGGCGGCCTCGGGGAGTGAAGAAGGGCACCTCCTCCCTTCTCTCCATCCCCACCTCCATCCTCGGGACTCACTCTGGGCCCATCTGAAGCTGTTCCCAGCCAGAGCTCTGCAAAGAGGGACCCTGGGACTGGTCCTGTGTGCAAGGCAGTTACTGTGGGGGGATGGCATTTTCAGCCCCTGTGTATGCGGCCAGGGCCAATGGCTTCTGCAGGAGGATGTAGCCAGAATGGCCTAGAGGCGTAGACCTCGGGTTCTTTTTGCTTTTCCCGCTTGCGCACGGACCAGGCTCTTTGCTCACCTTGCTTGCTTGCTTACCTGGCCTTCTCTTTGCTAGTCAAGGAAGAAGAGAAGCAGAAGCTGCTACAGAGAGGCAGCGAGCTACAGAGTGAGCACCAGCAGCTGGAGGAGAGGGACCGGCGCCTGGCCTCGGCAGTGAAGGTGCGCTGGCAGTGGGGGGCAGGAGAATGGGGGACCTTAGAGCCCCAAGATGTAAATCCAAAGCTTCACTGTCCTGTTACTGAGGCTCCAGGAGAAGACAGACTCACCAACATCACTCAGTGAGCCAGGAGGTAGAGAATGCAGCTCTGTGATCTATTCAACAAATAGTTACCAAGCAATTGAGCCTCTAGCTCCGCCCCTACCTAGCTCTCCGTCTTTGGCAAAGCCCTGTCTCTGAACCTCAGTTTCTTCTTGTGTAAAGTGAACATAATGATTTCTCTTCTGTAGTGTGGTGGTAAACAAGACAATGGTGATGATGGTGATGATGGCAGTGATGGTGGTGATGGTGGTGATGATGGTGATGGTGGTGATGGTAAGAATGGAGATGATGGTGATGGTGCGGATGGTGATGATGGCAGTGATGGTAATGGTCATGATGGTAGTGATGACAGTGGTGGTGGTGGTGATGGTCATGATGGTGGTGGTGATGGTGGTGGTGATGGTGACGATGGTGGTGGTGATGGTGGTGATGATGGTGATGATGATGGTCATGATGGTCATGATGGTGGTGGTGGTGGTGATGGTGACGATGGTGGTGGTGATGGTGGTGGTGATGATGATGGTGGTGATGGTCATGATGGTGGTGGTGATGGTGATGATGATGATGATGGTGATGGTGACGATGGTGGTGGTGATGGTGGTGATGATGGTGATGATGATGGTGATGATGGTCATGATGGTAGTGATGACAATGGTGGTGGTGGTGATGGTCATGATGGTTGTCATGACAATGGTGGTGGTGGTGATGGTCATGATGGTGGTGGTGACAGTGGTGGTGGTGGTGATGGTAAGGGCAATGCCAGGCCCTGGTGAAACTCTTTAAACATAGTATCTCATTCAATCCTCAGAATAACCCAAGAGGAGGATCTGTGATTATTCCTGTCTCAGAGTTTGGGTGCAGCATCAGGGAGTATAAGTGTTTAGTTGCCTGAGCAGCAAGTAGCTTACACTCGAGCTTGGGCCCCGTCCCGACTGCTGCCTGCCCTGCCATGATACGTACAAAGCCAACCGAAGACAAGAGCACGGCAGGCAGCAGACAGAGCAGAGAGCTGGCTGGCCATCTGCAGATCTTCTGCAGCTGCAGTGGTTGAACCAGAACTGGCTCCCAGCTTCCTCAGCAGGAGGAGAAATGACCTGATCGTTGACGTAGCGTCACGGCCGGGAGGAGGAATGTTCCACGCTCCCGCCCAGGCATGCCATTTCTAGCCCTGAACTCTAAAACAAACTTCTCCTGTGTGACTGGCTGTAATTCCATTTTTTGCAGCTGCCCGGTTTTTGGAAGGCCCTCGCGCTGGTTGCCTTCAGGCCTCTGCCCGAAAGAGGGGGGGGAGCTGTGGGTGGGCTGAGAGGGTGGCAGCCCCAGGATGCCTGCGCGGTGGGATTCTGAGACCTCGCCCCTCTCTCCTTCCGCCAGAAATGCCTAGAGCTTAAGACGAGCCTACTGGCCCGGCAGAGGGGCACCCAGTCATCCTTGGACCGCCTGCGGGCCCTCCTGAGACTGATACGGGGCGAGCAGATGCTGCAGGTCACCATGACGACCACCAGCCCCGCCCCGCTGCTGGCCGGGCCCTGGACCAAGCCCCCAGCGGCAGCCATGCGCTCTGCCCTCCAGCACCCCCAGGGGCACAACTGACCCTGCGGGACCCGCTTCACACCCACGGAAGGTTCCTGGGACCCTGCTCAGCAGACCTGAGGGTTCTGTCCGCCTTAATTCATAAACACTATGAATTTCAGACGAAAATAAAACCTGACCGAGAGAGACAGAGGAAAGAAGGGAGAAGGAACTGGGTGGAAGTCCTTTCCCTCCACATTTAGACGGGGCACCAAGGAAGCCAGGGCGGTGCCCGATGGCCGGGTGCACAGTCAGCCCCTGGCTGTTGGGGGGCTGCCCAGGCCTCCAGCTTCCAGGCACAGCTGTCTCCTCGGCCTCGTGCTGCCCCCCAGGAGAGAGAAGGACAGAGGTTGGGACGGGGAGCCAAGAACCCGAAGACCTAGCTGAGTAGTAGCGGTAGTTGGGACGAGCAGTGGGTAGCGAATCTAGGTAGGACTCCGTGCCCTTCCCGCTCAGGGGCCCCGGGGCTTGAGGCCGGGGCGCTCCAGCGCCTTCCAGAACGCGGGCCCCTGTCTGTCAGTATTATTAGCATTAAGAGTCACAGCTGTTGAACTTGAAAGAAACTACGAGGCGGGTCCCTCCGGGGAGGGACTCTGCAGTCTCCACCTGCCAGGGCCTCCGCGTGCCCCCGAGTCTTCAGAGTGCCCACTCTGTACGCCTCTTGCCCTTTGCCGACCTTCTGGACTCATTTTGCCATCGATGTATTTTTCTCATGGAGTTTTTGGGCAAGATGGAGCTGCAAGCATGCAGGGGAGGCCTTTGGCGGGTTTTCTATTCGGGGTTGAATCATTCAACTTATGACTGAAGCCTTTTCTTTTCTCCTTTCGAAGAGCCGATAAAGTATTCCATTCCTCTTTTCTTGCCAGTACAGACACTTATGCCAAAAAATAACTTTACATTTTTGTATGGCGTTTTTATTGTAAGATATTTAATGTGAAGGGGGGATGCTTGCTGACTTCTTTTCCTGCTTACAGTGGTCTCTGCTGCAAAGTACGAATGCGAAAACCCCTCCTGGGGGACTGCCAAACTGGAGAGATCCAGAGGGTTCTTTCAGAAGGGGGGGGGCGAGGGGAGGGAGGGAGAGGGGGCAGTGGCCTCGGGAGGGTTTGGCCTTCGGAGACGCAAGAGTCCCTCTTCTTGCTGTCTCCTTGCGTTCGTGAGAGCTGAGGGCGCGCTCGCGTCATAAAAGGGCTCCCGCGCCCCGGGGTGGGATGTCCACCCACCAGCTTCTCCAGTCCTGAGGGACGTAGCACAACAGGATAAGCATCCGGAAGCCAGCGGGCTCCCACCCCAGCATATCACACGGTGCCGAATTGCATTGAACACAGGTGCGCGTGTGCACACGCGGCCCCAGACACACACGCACGCAGACAGGTGCAGAGCAGGGAGGCTGGCCAGGATCCCACAGACTGCCATGGTCCCTCCTGTCATTTTCTCGACTCCGGGAGAAACTGTGCTGTACGATACAGATCTATTTTAATACACTTAACACTGGGTTGAACAAGATTTTTATATTCTTTTATTGATGAACAAAGTGAACTGTGAGACACACGTCTTCTATATTGGTTACTCTAGATGCCAATTATGCATTACCGCGTGGCTTGCGATGTAAATGTCTTCAGGTTCCTTTTTGTTGGTTTGTTTTTCTTCTTGGGTGGATTGAATTGAATTAAATTTTTAAAAAAATGTAATGGGAGGATATGGAAGGTTGGACCCGGGAGGGGTAGCTGCCGACGTGTCTTGAAGACTTAGTGTTTTGGACCAAGGAGGACTGTCCAGTGGATAGTGAGGGTAGAGAAAAAGTGTTTGTCTTAAATATGCCAATGTAGTTTTCCTTCTGTACGATGTATTAAACTCAACTGATGATTTCAAAGCCGTGTGGTTTGCTTTGCCTTCAGCAGAGAGGCCTCTGGGAGCACGAGGGGCAGGGAGGGGGAAATTGGAGAGGTGGAAAATCAGGGTCATGCCCCTGTTGGGAGGGAGGGAGGGAGGGAGGAGAGAGCTCATGGGCACCCTCCACATGCGGATCCCCCCACCTCCACCCCGAGGTGGCAGGTGCAACTCTTGGGACCCAGCGGATGGTCAGGAGCAACAGAAACCCACCCGGCCAGGTGCTGTGCGGTGTGGACACTGCTCCCTCACTCATTCCTGCTTCTCAGCCCATCAACGGCACCTACTTTTTCTGTTGCCCATGAGCTCCCGCAACCTACCCACCCGGGTCTTCGTCCTTGGCCTTTCAAGAGAGCATGCAAACTGGGGAGCCAGACCCCCTGCGTCCTGGCTCCAGACACTTCAGAGGCCTCCAGTCGGCCCAGTCAGGTGGGGAGCCCACCTCTGGACCACCAGATGTGGCCAAGGGTGGGATCAAATACGAAGGGATGGCCCACTGGAGCCCCAGGACTGAGGGATGCACCCAGAGACAGGGGAGGGGTGGGCGGGGCTGCGGGGCCCAGCTGGCGGGGTCTCTGACAGTCCTCTCCTGTTTCCAAGTGGGCCCAGAATCACAGAGCTTGGGTGGGGCCTAGAGTTCAAGGCGCCTCTGCCTGACCCCCGGCTGACTCTCCTCCAGCGCCCCCCTGCCTCCTTGAGAGCCGGCCCAGTCTCAGCCCCTGGAGGCCCATGAGGAGCCCCCAACCCCTGGCCCGGAGGTCTCAAGATTCCCGTTGGATTCCCACCGTTCTCAGTCTTCTAATTTCCTCCCACCCTTTTGGGTCCCTCTCCTACCGGGCTGCCCCTCTCCCATGATTCCCCTGGAGCTGCCCAATTCAAGGTCAGTAGTGACCTCCCTGTGGCCAGATCCAGTGGGGGACACGCTGACCACGCCCTCCAGCTGAAGGACACTCCCAGGACCCCCACTCACCTGGTTGTTCCAGTCTGTCTCCTCCCTGGGTCTGTGCTCTGACCTCGCCTCTCCTCCTGAATTCCTAGACTGACCTTGTCCCACCTCCTGGTTCTCTATCTCTATGCTGCCTGTTCCCTAGCTGTTCTCTCCAGGGCTGGGCCTCTGCCCGTTGGGCATCAGGAAGCGTCTGTCTCCGCCAGGCCAGCCCTCCTGCACCTGTCCCATCTCCGGGAGATTCCATCTTCCTAATACGTGGGCCAGCAGCCCGGCGAACTCACCCTCCACACCTGCTCATCGGCGGCACGCTCAGAATATAAGCAGGGGGTGGCCATGTGTCACCACCCACACCATCACCTTGGTCTCAGCCTGCCACCTCACCTGGATGACTGCAGCCGTGGCCTCAACACGTGCCCCTCCCCCATCCCGCTGCTGTCAGTTCTCAACCCAGCCGCCAGCATGACAATGCCTCTCCTAAACCCCTGCTGTCACTGCCCATCTTGCCCAGCAGCAAGTCCTCCAAGGCCACGGTCACTGCATTCTCTGGCCCTTTGACTTCCCTTCCTGCCTCTCTCCACTTTCCTCACTCTGTTCCAGCCGCACGGCCTCCCTGCTCTACCTGGAACCCACGCAGCATGCTCCTGCCACAGGGCCTTTGCACGTGCTATATCCTTACCAGGTGTGCCCTGGTGTCTCTTGGAATTTGACCACAGCCCCCTCAAGGTGCAGCTGTCCCCAGCCACCCTCCTTAAGATTTAGCATCTCCTCTCCTTCCTTGTTGTTTGATTCCTCAGACTTTTTTTTTTAAAGATTTTATTTCTTTATTTGACAGACAGACAGACACAGCAGAGAGAGGGAACACAAGCAGGGGGAGCGGGAGAGGGAGAAGCAGGCTTCCCACCGAGCAGGGAGCCCGATGTGGGGCTCCATCCCAGGACCCCGGGATCACGACCTGAGCCGAAGGCAGACGCCTAACGACTGAGCCACCCAGGCGCCCCTGATTCCCCAGACTGAAATAACAACTTTCCGTGACTCACCTTTTCAGTTTTGTCTGCTTCATGAAGGCAGGGAACTTGGTCAGTTTTACTCACCAATCCCCAGCATCTACAAGAGTACCTGGAACACAGGAAGTGGGTGCTCAGTAAAGACTCATGGAATACAGGAAGGAGGCTTCGAGAGACAGAGCTGCCCGGCCTTGGGGCTGCCTCCATCCCGGCTCAGGGTCGTATCCCAGGGCTTCCTTGTTCCCAGTGCAGCTGCCAGGTCCACTTGCCCAGTGAGGGTGGGGGCAGGGGGGTGAGGAAGCTGAGGCTGGGGAGGGGTGGGATCTCCAGGGACCCTGCAGCTGCAGAGGGGGTGAACCCAGACTCTACCATATCTTTGTCCTCTAATCCATAGGGGGTTCCAGGACAGCCTGCCCAGCTCCCATCAAGAGACACGGGGGCCTGGGGGGCTCCAGCGCCCCAACACAGGGCAGGAGTTCCTCGCAAATCTGAATGTGCCTCCCCCCGCCCCGCCCCGCGATGAGAACTCCCTCCCTCCTGGGGAAGCACCTCCATGGATTAGCTCTGCCATTAGAAAGGGGGCCCTGGGGCGCCTGGGTGGCTCAGTCGTTAAGCATCTGCCTTCGACTCAGGTCGTGGTCCCAGGGTCCTGGGATCGAGCCCTGCATCGGGCTCCCTGCTCTGCGGGAAGCCTGCTTCTCCCTCTCCCACTCCCCCTGCTTGTGTTCCCTCTCTCGCTGTCAAAAAAATAAATAAATAAAATCTTAAAAAAAAAAAAAAAAGAAAGAAAGAAAGGGGGCCCCAAAGTGTGTGGACACCTATAGTCCCTCCTGTCTCTCCACCACCACCACTGGCGCCTAGGTGGCCCTGTGCCCACGTGATGGAAAACGTGGTGTTCAACAGGGGTCCCCACACCTTCTGATTCCCCGGGTCCATCTGACCTGGCCCTGGAGAGCAGGGCCCACCATAGCTCTGCGGTGCCCACCAAGCAAGCTCAGGGGTGGGAGACTCCCCGGGGCTGGCCATCAGCTATGGTGATGAGGATTCACCACTTCTCAGAGGGCTCCCCCGGGGAGCATTTTGTTTCCAGAAGCTGCCATAACAAAGCACCACAGACCATGGGGTTTAAACAACAGAATGAATTCTCTGCCAGTTCGAGAAGGTCACGCAGCCAGCAG